TAGAAACAGAAGCCAAATTGTATTTGGTAAATTCCGAGTAACTATTTGTCCCTAAATTGCTATTTCAAATAATAGAGCGGCCCCTCGGGCAACACAAACATGACAAGTGGGTCATGCGTGAGAAGTAATAGGGATTGGGGAGGTCTGTGGCACATTGGAGGCCAGTGTTGCCTGATCTTTTGATTTTCTAAGGAAATTAGAAACCCAGAATTTTTTTGTATGGTATCTCCTGATTTCTAAAACTTAATTCATTTTTTTTTTAAAATAAGACACAGTCGAGGGCTAACTATAATATATCTGTGGGCCAAATGTGGCCTACTAGCTGCAAGATTCTGGAATCCTCTTTCCAGAAGTTTAGAAGTGAAATGAGAAAGCATCTCAAAGAAGAAGAAAGGTTAGGGATTGTTTAGGATTGTATGTGAGGGGCGTGTGTGTGTGTGTGTGTGTGTGTAGGGCAGCTTATTTTTGTTTCCTTGGGGTGGGTAAACATAAACTCACTAAGGAGGAGGCTTAAATAGAGAGTGACATCTGGAAAAGGAAAATGCCAGTGGGAATGGGAGGAGTGGGATTGAGGCCAATTATTAGAAAGATGAGAAGATACAAACAGACAGAGTGATAGGAAAGTAAACATGAAGAAGTAAAGGGAGACTACCGTGAGGTAGAGGACACATTGTATGCCAGTTGGAGAGTCAAAAGGAGACTGGGAGCTAGACAAGAACCTGGAAAAGTTTTGTAATGGCTGCTTAGAGAATAGTCAGTGGCAAGGGTGTGGGATGATTAGAAATGTAGAGTAGCAGTGAAAACCCAGTTGACTTTCATTATCCTTCAGTTTTTAAGTGAGCATCTATTTGTGTGACACCACTAGGCAATACAGATATAATAGAAGAGACAGATTAGAATAAGACTTAATTGTTGCCTCCAAGAGCTTATGGTCTCACTTATGGTCTATAGCTCTAACTTGAACTGATGGGCTAGTTTGCAACATATATTCATTCGTTTGCTACAGTCATCACTTTGCCATATCTGTGAATTATCTGTACAATTATTTGCTCAATATTTTTGTTTAAATCATCTCATCTATATAAAAATAGAAAAGTGAAAATAGAAATGAAAAATAGAAAAACGAAGCTATGTATCATTACTTGTGCTGTTATATTGTATTTTTTTCAAATATGTGTTTTTAAAACATATAAAACTGACATTTTGCCAAAAGTTCATCTCTATTTCACCTAACATAATCTTGTATATCACCAATAGAATATATAGCATATGTTGGGAAAGATGGAACTGGTTAGCTGTATAGTTCTTTAGGTCATTAGAAGCAAGAATTTTTCCATGCCGGAAAAATTGTAATATGGCTTTGATTCTTTTATTCAGGCAGGTCGGCTTCCATGGGTTGATCTGAGTAAAATGAATAAAAGCAGGCACCTCTTTGACAATTTTAAAATGATACTATTTGAATACCAAGAAGTTTGGAGCTTCACTGCAGAGCCTTCCAAATTAATCTAGTCTGTAAAAAAAGCTAAAATGCCATCAAGTAACAGGAGATTTGTCAGCTGCCCTGCTTACACTTTTCATATAAAACATAAAGGTTGGCAGATTATAGATGAAAGGTCAGTTCAGCAGAAAAGAAAATATATCAGACAATCTCATAACATAGGTAACAGAAAATGGAAGTCGGAAACTACTATTGGATTCTCGGAAAGAGATGAGTTTGTTGGCAATGTGTAAATATCATCACTGTTTCTGCGGCTGTTCATTTTGGTGGCTACTTCTTTATGTCAAGTCTCCAAATTTGATTTAAAAGACACCGAGGAGTCCTGTCTTCCTGAGGAAGATTTACTTTGCAGCAGTTTTACTTTTTTTTTTTTTTTAAATTGGTCTGAAGGGGAAAAATGTACTTCCTTTCCCTTATTTCCTAGTCTCACCCGTGCCATTTCTGAACCAAAGCTCTAAAATGGAAAAAGCAAGAAGCCAAGCCCTCTTGCAAGAGCAGTGGTGCATAAAGAAATGGTTTACAGTGAGTCTATCATCATGAATGATTAAAAGGGAACCGGGCAGCTACAGCGTGACTTGTACAAATAGAGTTGCTGAAAGATTCACGCTGGTAGGACCTGCTTGGAACAGATTACCGTCCAGGAAAAATGTTTCAGCCCATTCTGGTCTTGGGAGCACAGGTGAATCTTGGGGTGAGCTATTAAGCCGGTAGGGTCATGGAGCCATGATATTAGAGTTGTGGGGCATCTCACAAATTGCCAGTGTGTGCAGTGCTGGGAATTTGCATCCTGTTAATACATCTTTCATCTGTATTTTAAGTGCAGGGAATTGTGCAAAATATCATACTATCCAAGTAGCTTGCAACGTAATCACACTCCTTACTGCCTTATGCTAGTGAAAATTGTAAACTCGCATAAACATGCATTTGAGAGAAGCTTCCTGTTTTCCATGAGCTGTTCACCTTGCAAATAACTGAGAGCAAAAGCATGTCACACAACATTGTGGGCTAGTAGTCAAGGATACCCATTGACACTTGGCCACAGTATTTTCAATTTCATTGTTCTACAGTGTTATTCTCTGTATACTTTCATGTCTCTCTTCAGCCTCCCCTATATATATAATTTTATTACTGTTAGAAACCTAAAAAGTGAAAGCTAAAGAAAAACCAGTAGCGTCTCAAGGCATATTCCGGCAATCTTAAAAATCGCTTCAGTGTTAGCAGATAGGTTTGCAGCGTGCTGCTGGGATTGTGGACCTTACAGTGTATTCTCTGTAGTTTGCATTGCTAAGATCTAAATGGATTTATGACAAAATTTGCCCCTCCCCCCAAAATATAATTCTCTTCCCCACTAAGCTTCATTAATTAAATCATTGACTCTGACCTGCTGGTAAGGACCAGTTCTTACAAGTGTATCCAGATTCCTGCTAGTGGTAACTTTCATTCTTCCTGGAATAACAGGAAACATTAATTTTGCATTGCATCCAGGAGTCTTGGGAAGCTGGAATTATAGGCACCATTGTCCTGCCCTATTTCCTCTCAAAAATAAAATGAAATGAAATAAAATAAAATGAGCAGCAGCCCAGCGGTAAGGCTTGAGGGATGGATAATGAAAATGAATAGAAAAGGGCATTAATTTCAGGATGGGGACAGCTGCCGGGCACTATCTCCCTTTGGATTTTGGTTCTTATAGCATCACGGTGAGTTATTAATATGTATGATCCGTACTTTATTCAAACATTATAAATCTATGCAGAAGTCTGGTGTTTGGGTTTTCCTTTATAGCTTTCATTCTTCTTCCCAGAATTATCTCATTTTGATCGGGAAACTTTTGCATAAAAAGCACACATCGAGAACTCACATTTCCATACCATAAATATTAAAAGGGGGTTAAGCTTTACAATTTCTTTTCCCATCCCCAATGGATGGAAAGTTAGCCTTCTAATGGGGGGAGGCAGCGTTATTAATGTTTTTTTTTTTTTAATTTATAAGCCAGAAGATAAACTTTAACTTGCAGTATGAAATTGTACCATGTAGTTTTGAATTTATGTAAATTGTGGAATGCTGGGCTATGCCATGTCTTTTGTATGAGGGATATACTAAAAATCTAGCAGTTATCTGAGTTGTTAAGAATAGTCGGTCGGCTTATTTTTTTTTTATTAAAGTGTAGATGGCATTCGATATTATATTAGTTTCAGATGTACAACATGATAGTTCTATATTTATATGCCTTACAATGTGATTGGCTTATTTTTTGAGGACCAAACCAAGTCCAGACCTTTTTTAAAAATCGTGATTAAAGTGCTTTTTGCTGGATTCATCACAGCGTGGATTCGGCACAGTGAATCTGTAGTATACAGAAGAGAGAAATGGAACTAGAAAACTTAATGTCTTCTTAGTAGCTTTTTAGCTTCTTAGCAGCTTTCCATCTCCTGTTTATTGTCATTTTTGTTAGCATAAAGGAGTAGTCATAAATTTTGGTTCCCATGGAAATATAAAGGAATGCATGAGCTATTTCATTTGTGTATACCGTCTGCTAATCACACAGTCTCGGCGGCTGTTCTTCATAATGGGAAATGAACGTGCTAATTGGTGCTCTCTTTTCTTATTTCAGGAAACCTGCCATATGAATATAAAATAGTGATTGCTGGGAATCACGAACTGACATTTGATAAGGAATTCATGGCAGACCTTGTTAAACAGGACTACTACCGTTTCCCCTCTGTGTCCAAATTGAAACCAGAGGACTTTGACAACGTTCAGTCCCTCCTGACAAACAGTATTTACTTACAAGACTCCGAGGTAACAGTGAAGGGATTCAGGATATACGGTGCACCTTGGTAAGTGTTCATTCCAACAGTCTTCCCCTCCGTTTCTTTCCCGCTCAGGACTAAGAAAGCATGTTGCAGACTTAGGTGCTTCAAATGAAAAAGATAAGGCTGAACGAAACATTATTGCTGTATTTCCAGCATAACACATAGTCCGGCACTGCTGCAAAGGGCAGTGCTTGTTTTCATTGTGATGCAGATGTGTTTAGGCAAGTAGGACTTTAGCAGATGTGCGTGGGGCTGCATGGGTATTTGTGGGACACAGCAGGACTGGAGGGACCATCACCACTGTTCCCTTTCAAGAAGATTTAGCTACTCTGAACATTCCACCAGCCTTAAGTAACTCATTTCCCTCTCATTTTATGGTGGAAGCTCTCATAAAATACCTTTCTTAGATTAAGGTTTCTCAATTCTGGCTACATATCAGAATCATCTGACCAACTCTGAAGAAATACAGATTTTGAAACCCTATCCTCTGAGACTCTGATTCTCCTTCCTGAGGTGAAGCCCAGTAATCTGTTTTTTTTTTTTTTCAAAGCTCCCCATAGGAGAATGATGCACAGACAGTTTGGAAGTCACAGATTGAGAGCTCAGTACTGGAGTTCTCAGCATTGAGCTCTAGAAAACTTGAAGCAGGTGCATATTTTGGGGAGCTAGACAGGAAGCATTTTGATCTTGCCTTTATCAGTTGTTAATTGTCTGGTTATGAAGAAGTTAATTCAAAGAGGATGAGCCTCAGTTTCTGCATCTCTAAGAGGGTGAAAATAATACCTACTTTAGAGGGTTATTATGAAATTAAATTAGATGATGTTTGCAATGGATTTAAAAGAGTACCTTGTGGTTTGCTTAATTACCGCTCTTTCTGGTCTCGGCTCTGCCACTAAGTATTTGTGAACTTGAACCTCCAAAGTCAGTTTTTTCATCTTTAAAATGGGACTGTTAGAAGATCAGTATAAAAGAAGTCTTGGATTTTTATCTATCTATCTATCTATCTATTTATTTATTTATTTACTTTTTGAGAGCTCCATATTAACTTTTACTCACCCAACCTGGAAAAGTATCTCAGTCCTGCCCTAGGCGTTGCAGATAAAGCTGGAGGAGGACAGAATAAATTCAAATTGGCCACCCAATTCAACAGTTTACTTTGTCCTCTGTAGAATAGAAAGTTGAGATATTTTCTGTAAATATTTTTTTCTAGCTTTACAGGAAGTGCATTTGTGTTTAAAATCAACGTGGCAATGATTGTGAACTCTTAATTGAGTCTTTACTTTATGCCAGGCACTATTTTAAGTCCTTTATGGCTATCGTCTCATTTTCTTTAAAATACCTTTAAGAAATGGGTACTATTAGGATTCTCATTTGGCAGATGAGAAAACTTAGACGCAGAAAGGTTAAGTAACTGCCCAGGAATCACACAGATACTAAATGGTAGCGTTCTAAGTGGAGTCTGATGACAGTACAGGACATGGCACAGGTGGTGGTGACGATGGTGGCGGTGGTGCAGTAACTGGTGGTTATCGTCTGCTGTGGTTACATCCAGCTTTATTAACGTATGTTGGTTAATTTTTTTATATGTGAAAAGGTGGTAAAAGGCAAAGAGATAAAAACAAATTAGTTTTATCACACAGAAATCTGAAAACAGATCTCAGGGTAGTGTAGGATGTTGTTATGAGCGTTTGTGTGTAAAGGCAGGAGGGAACGAGCTTTTCCAGCTTTACGGCCTGTTTCTTAGTGACTGCCTTGTGTTGAGGAATGTCCTCTGGCAGAGAAGCTCTACGTGGAGTTACGATCATTTTTTTCAATAACTTCAGATGATTTTTGAAAAATCTTCAAAGGGCACAGAAGATTGAAGGCTCTTCCTGAACAAGCAGGACTTTGTGAGATCCCTGGATTGATAGTTGCCAAAATGATGACAGCAGACAAACTTCCTCCGTTATCTGAGCAGATTCAAACATGTTTAGGATCTGGTTTATCTAAATCAGATGATGGCTATGATGAATGAGGGAGTGATTTTGGATCCTGGGCAGATCTTGCAGCATTTCAAGAAATTAAAAAAAAAGAAAAAAAAAAGAAAGAAAAAGGCATAGTAATTTAAATATGTGATGCGATGGGGGATAATTCGTTTTTGGTGGTGGTATAAACTTTGGGCAAAGTTTATGTCTGGGCTGGATTCATATCATTCATAAATTTTTAATTTTAATATTGAGAAGGATGGTAAAGTCAAAAAATTAGGCAGCATTAGTCATCTGAAATGTTACCCTGAAGTTCTCTTTATACATAATTTGTTGGGATTTCGAACTGTTTCTTGCCTAGCACCTCCTTGTGATGAGGGAGATCCTTACATGGAATTTGTCTCACCCATTGGAATTGTTGCTACTTTGTTTTTTGGCCAAGAATAGAGAGGTTGATGAAAAGGAAATTTTAGTTTCCTCCTATATTTTGGAGGCATCAGTAGTTTAGATCTCACCATGTAAGTTCTTTTGTTAAAATTAATATTCCCAGGACTGCTCATAATCTGAACGATAATTTAAGAATGCCTATATTAGCATTTCTGTGCAGAGAGGACAGATTTTCCCAGCTCTCTCACTTATTCAGCCGTGGGACCTGGAGTGATTTTCTGAAGCGCTCCATACATCTGTTTTCTCATCTTTAAAGTGGGAGATAGTAACATTACTTCCCTCACATGGTTGTTAGGAAGAAAAATGTGTTAATGCATCCACAGCATGCAGAAGGCTTCCTGGCATAAAGTATTTGAGAAGTGTTAGCTATTACTAATATATGCTTTACACCTTTCTCCACTTTGAATGAAGATTGTTGTACTTTGAATCTGGTGGGGTGGGTTCTAGCTCCAGGTTAGCCTCTGCTGATTGGGTGACATAGGCGAATTACTTAACTTCTCTATTGGTAAAAACAGGGGCAATGAAGTCTGCCCAAGTCTCTCTCATATAGCACTTAAATGGCCATCAAATCAGAATCTTCAAAGAGTAAACATATTTGCGAGCATGCTTGATTCTTTTAAGGTTTTGTACAATTTTTAACCTCTCTGACTATTAAGAATTTGACTAGAAGCCAAGCTACCACTTTTCTCCCTTCAGAAGTTAGGTTTTTCCATCCCTGAGATTCGCTCATAGGTGAATGCTTACTTAGTAACTCATTAGATATTGCAACCCTAAAATAATGTAAACCAAAATTTAAGTTTGATTTCCATGCTTTTCCAATGACTTTTTTGGAGGAAATAGTAAGTTCTGATTAGGTCATATTGCTAGTGGTTTTAATTTAAAAACAAATCAACATAACCTTGATACTAAAGATTTTCATTCTGTTATAAGTTTCCCAAAAGTAATTGCCATCTGACCAGGAAGTTAGCTGTAACTCATGTATGTAAAAAAATGTGGATCGTGACTTGGTCTCAATATAGAAAAGGAATATTAGCCCATATTCATGTTTATAACGTGTAGCAAGGCTGAAAGCTTCCGAAAGATCAGAGAGAATTAAAGCAGTATCTCTTAATTTACAATTTAGCAGGAATTTGTATGCAGAAAATAACTTACAACACTCCAGAGTATTCATGCATGTTTACAATTGGAGTGCACTGTGGTCCTTCTTAGACTCCCAAGGAAGAGGATTTGTTTGTGCTTTGGTAGGTCTGGGAAAATTCGGTGGTCTCTATCGAAGAAGTTGTAAGTGGGATGCGTTGTCCTTGGAAGAAGCGCAAGTGTTGACGTATTCCTAGAGGCACCCCTGCCTCAGGAGGCCTTATGGCAGGTTCTGTGGCTTCTGTATGTATCCTTCACCATCTCGTTTTTCCAAGAATCTTGAAGAAAGGAATCAGGTGTGATGTGTTGTCATCTTTGGGAGTAGCAGTTCAGTCACATTTTTTCTTAACTTGTGCTGTTATGTTTTTCTTTCCCTCTTAGAGGGACAGAAGAAGAGGGTCTTGAGTTTCCAGGCAGTTAGGTCTGCCCAGGTCTTTGCTGTCACAACAGGAAAGCTTGTGGATTTCTCGTGTCCCCTGAGTGGATACTCTCCGCAAGATGAGTCCTCATTTCCGCTTTATGATCACTCTCAGTTCTGTAATGTCTTTTCCAAGATCTAAGTACGGTTAGAAAGAGGAGACAAAATTCTAATCTGTCAAATATTAGCCACTGTGGTAATTAACTGCCTGTCTGGCCAAGGTAGAAAGGAGGTGGAATTTTAAAGTCATCTTTGTATTTTTGGTTACTGATCTGTAGCCAGCATTTTAGTGCAAGCAGGTTTCGGTAAACTCACTGGTGGGACCTGGCATTTAAATATCGACTAGACCCTTCTTTTTTTTCTGATTTCGACTGCTACTCTTTTGATACTAAGATGCTGTGTGGAAAAAAATCTAGGTACTAACAAATCAGCAGCCACACTGTAAAAACTAAAAAGTCTATATTTCTCAGACCTGAGCAGAGCAGTTGTATTGTCCAGCAACAGCCTGCCCCTCATTCCTCTGTTGAACAGAAATGCAGAGCTGGTCTCCCGTGGCTTTTAATGAATATGAGTGGGGCTTTCCAATGTCCAGGAATTTGATCTCTACGCTGACCACGGGGTCAGGAACAAAGAGCATGCTTTTTCATGTGAGAGTAGACCCAGGTGTAATTTGTCAGATTTAGTAACTGTGGAGGAAGTGCCTTAACTTCTGCAGCAGGAGAATTAGATTGGGCCTAGGCAGTGTCCTTCTACAATGGCTGAAATAGCGAGGGAAAGCCCATTAAGATGCATTTTCAAACAAGTGTGAGCAGGATATATTTGTTCCCCCTTCATTCTTCTCCTCATTTCGGATCCTAAAGATGTTGAGTTCATTCATTCATTTAGATGTAATTTTCTCAGCATTTTTCAAAGTAGGAGTTAAATGTTGATTGTGCCCTCTGCAGCCTTTACGATGTGCTCGCATACCAATAGGTACAGCGATGCTCACGTTGCCTTGTTCTGATCAGTGCGATAGTACTTTATGTTTACCCTGTCAGAAAAACTTCAGATGCTTTTAT